ACCTTAGATGCTGAAGCAAACTGCTGACACCTTTTTTAAAAAGTGACAACTACATCTATTTCATGACCAGAAATCCATTTTCATCTCTATCAAGACAAGAATGCAATTTTCACTTCATTTAACTGATGTTAGGCCTGCTCAAGGCATGACACTTTGGAAAAGACCCAAGTTTAAGGTTTTTAAAATACTTCTAATAACTAGAATACAGCTTGGTTGCATGGAAATATTCAAGTATTATTCACATCTATAAACAACACAAGATCTTAAAAACAAATCTTAAAAAATATTTATGGGGCCTATGAAGAAAATGAAAACTTAGAGAAATAAGTTTCTAAGTAAATTTAGAGAAATATAATTTAAAATTTTAATAAGAGCTTATGATGTTACACCATAGGGTATAACGTCTATTTATAAAGTCTATTTTTAAAAGCTTCTGTAATAGCAGATTTCTTGTAGTGTGTATAGAGTCAAATAATATATTAACTGTCTTCACATACTTATACTGTTTGCAGAAAAATCGAAATACTACTAGCATTCAATATCATGTTTATTTGAATTTGAATTTTTTTCCTTTAGAAGTTTTAAGCATTGCTTGAAATGAAATGTTTTAAAAACTATAATCAGTTTCAAAGCTATTTCATTGTAATCTCTTTTCCTCCCAGTTTTAGCTTCCTTCTGCAATTATATTCAAGCAACTATTTACTAGAACTCTAAAATAGTATAAAGTGATGTGAATATATAGGCAGCACTCAAGAAATTTTAATATAAGATTTCAGGAGAAAGTAGTTATTATGAAAAAAATTCTAGAATGAAGAAAATATTTATAAAATTAGAGAACACTATATAATTTAATGCTATACACTGACACACTTGGTATAATATTTTTATGTAAAGCTCATAGAAAGGATAGCCTACTTGGTAATCATATCATAGACACACTTTAAAATAAAGGAACTTATGAAGACTGTTCTGTATGCCAATCCAATATTATCAAAATCTAATATCTAAATGCAGTATTTGCAAATAATAGCATGATTAAATGTCAATTAATGTAAAAATTGACTTTAGGGAAATAATTTATATGCAAATTAAAATTGTAATATTATGATTCCTATGAAGCTTGTGAGACCACAGATAATGCCACTACTGTTAGGGAAAATGCAGCAATCAAAATATTTTTCAATTAAGAAAGTTTGGGGTTATTAGATTCATTTTTAAAAAAAATATAACATAATACATTAATTCACACAAATTAGTACATTTCTGTTTTCCTTACCAAATATTTTTTTAAAAAAAAAAATATCATGCCCAATGATATCCAAGTAATATAAAATAGGAGGGACATAAATTTTAATATAACTTTGAAAATAAATGAAGAAAATTCTATCTCCCATAATAAATACCAGTTTTGATCTGACGAAATGAAGCTATTTTTTTCACAGATTCAAGGGGTAACAAAATGGCAACAATAATATCTTTTACTGCATTCATCTTTGTGTCTCCATGCCCACACTGAGTATCTCCTTGAACTTAGTAACAGACATAACTAATTCACTATGTTATTCTAAAGAACCACAAATGATTACAAACCAGTAATATCATTTAAAAAGGTATTTCAATCTTCTCTGTGGCCTCTGTTTAGCTATGCTGGAGTTCTGAATGACAGCTTCCCTGCTTGAAGCACAGGGAACACACAGCCTTCCTCATTCACTGACAGTACCATGGCCTTTTCACACGTTCCTTCCACAGCAGTGTTTGTCCCCAAACACTGGGCTCCGCACAATGGCATTCCTGTTCAACACCCCCACCAACAGCACAACTACATATCAAGAATGCTAATGAGATAGGACAAGCCCTTCACTGGAAGTGTTAACTGCTTTCATGTTTATGCTTTTTCCACATTTACTAATGGAGTTCAATATTCCTGCCATAGTGTTGGATAATTTTATTGTGTAGGAATCTGTATCTGCAGAATATACATTTAACAATATTTTGTTAAAGATGCTAGCTATGTTGTAAAAACTGTAGTCAAAAACAATACTGGTTAGCTTATCTCTAATATAAATCAGATGCACAAATAAAAAAAAAGAAACAGCTTCAGATATCTTCCCATTTTTAGCAATTCAAGAAAACATATTATTCTCAGACATCTTGATAGTCTTAAAGTTCATTTCCTCCAAATCAAGTACCTCCGTAGGTTCTCACAAAACATTCTTACATCATGCAGTTACTAAAATATAAATTATGTATAGAATGACCGTGTTTTAAACAAGGAGGATAACTGTCTTCTAGTGACCCTTGAGAATCAATTATAACCTTCCCAATAAGTATTCCCAACCAATTTTCTTCTTTCAATTAATCCACTGTGTTTCAGTAAAAAGCACTCAAGATTTGGTGTCCTTCCTGAGTTGTTTCAGAAGTGAATGTTTGGATTTCATTAAGTTCTTTACACTAAAAGGGTAAGATTCAAGAAGCCTCAAACCTACTTATTATTGTTGGCAGATGGATCTTTAGGGAAAATAATATGCATTGTGTTGTGGTTGTATTTTGAACACGTTAATACAGATTGACTAAGCTATTAGAGGAAACATTTTAATGTGACCATCAGTTGCTATCATATTATATTATTTTGAATATTTTATCTTCAATCAAAAACCCTATCAAAAAATAAGCACAGCTAACAGAAGGTACTCTTTAATATTTTAATACTGCTGGCTTTTTAATTAAGATGGACGCAGTTACAGTATAACATAGTATAAAATAGGAACAGGTGCAGGTAAGTAAAATCTTCAGCTGAGAAACAGGCACATCTTGCTGTTTTAACATCATAGCAGTTGTATCTCATACAACATCGCCCTGAAACAATTTGCTTATTAAAGTTTTGTGATTTCACATGTTAGTTTAGTAAAGATGAGAGAAACGTACCACATATGTGCTGATGAGATGCTTCTGACATATGCCAACATGGCCTCATTCCTATTCAAGAGGAGTGACTGATTTGAACATTCACAACATCTTCTGGCAAGTACACAGTAGTTATGGGAATAATAGGACAGCCCATGAGCTGCAGGATATGATGTGTTTGTGCCATGTTTGGATTCTTACATTCACAAGCAAAATATGGGCTATTGATATATGGCAGATTATATCTGCACACTGCACTTTTTAATATTAATACATGCTGACAGTAGTTTTAATCTAACCACACTTGCAACACCACAAACCCCACCCTATGGGAACAAAGAATTTGCTATTTCTTTTACATATCTGTGAGAAGATCCCATGATTTGCAGAATTATAAACAACTTTGGAGGGGAGAAAGTAAGTACAAGTATATCAGAATACAGCTAATGTTTTGGCAGGTCAGAGCTAATCTGTTGGTTATTTTTTAAGTATAAAAAAGAAGGAAAAGGAAAAGCAGGAGGAGAAGTTATATTTCAAAATGTGATTAATAAGCGTAAGTACAAGCAGGCCAAATTTCTATCATTTTAGCTTTAAAGATGGAAATATGTCACTACACAGGACTTTTGTGTTTGAAAGCCACTTTAGCAGTGGGAGACTATGAATTCTAGCCCTACTTTAGCCCTACTTTGAGTTTGGGGGGAGAGGATTATGTACGCAATCTTTGTTTATTAAGACCAAACTAGGATATAAATCTAATAACAAATGTACTCATTTACTACTATTAACTTAAACCTATGAGATATAACTAAAGGAAAAATAATAATGCATGGTCCTTTGATCCTATGCTCCTTTTTCTAAATTCAAGATGGTGAAGATTTTTAAAAAATATTTTCCATTCTCCTATATAAATATTATCCCATTCTTAAAATGCTTTCCATATATCAGTATGGAAATTCTTTGATGTAAGCAAAGAAATAAAATACATGAAAATTGCAATTATGCTACGGAATTGTGTTTGCAGGTATTTATTATAAACACTGAAAATAATAGCAAATGCATTTGTTCACTATTAACTTTACTCACAATTAATCATAGCGGTTAAACTTTGAATTGTGTTAGAGACACAATTTCCTCATTTTAGGAAAAACAGTCTGTACTGGAGCAACCTTATACCCTTCTTCATGTTTGCATCAAAAACTTTTGAACTGGTTAAAAAAAGGCTTTAAAGAAGGAACCATTTTTGTTTATTTTGTTTTAATTCACACTGTTAAAAGCCAACATTTGTGAAACCAAATCTTTATGATATTCTTATACATTCCCTATCTTTGATTACCAGTTTAGATCACTATTAGTTCAGCAACAAAATTATTTATCCCAAAGTAAATGCTCATTTCTCTTTATGCATCTAAACAGCAGGAGGTGCTGTATAAAAAAACATATACCTTCTTTCGCCTGTCCTCCTTGCTCACCCATCCCTTATGAAGAGCATGCTTAAATCATGGCCTGAAATCTACTATAAATTTCATTTTAAGTTGCAATGTTTATTTCTGACCAATTTCCCTGCCTTGCATTTTCAAATTAGATGGGTATACAAACACACACAAACATATACACATGGATACACATGTTCCATGACAAGGTTAGCAGTACCAAAAAGGCAGGCATGCTCCATTTCAATTCAGCTTCGTTACACAGAAAGACATTGAAACATATGCCTAACTAAGAAAGGCAATTTTTGGTTATGTTTACATGCATAATTTTATATTTCAGGTCTAGCTAACATTAATTGGGCAATCCTAGAAAAATATAAATTATGAAAAAAATGCATATACTCCTAAGTTTTCTTAAGCAGAACAAGTAGAAATTATTTCCTCAGCAGTTTGTCTGCTAGTGCACAGTGTTGTGCAGCACTCAAACATTAGCTGTATAATTCCTCACACAGAAAGGCATACACCTTTAATACAAAGTTCAACTCCTTATAAAATACAGAATATATTGTGCAGCATGTCACATTTCCTTATCAAAAAGTGTGACAGCTTTCTACAAGTAACATAATTAAAAATGGAAAAGAAAAAAATGAGACTGGGTTAACTTACCTGTTCACAGTAGATTTTTGCAGATTTTAATCGCTGGTACAAGGCCAATAATACTCCTTGGATATATATCTTGGCTCCGGTGGGACTAAAGCCTTCTCCTTTAGAAACCCAAAGCGGTCCCCATAAAGGCGTGATGGAATTTTGCAGACATTTATCAAGCATAGGAACTGCACAGAGAAAAGGAAATGGAGGGAGAGATTTTTTTTTTTTTTTTATCCAACTAAAACACATAATCTGAATGGTGTCTCCCAGACCAGAATTGTTAACATGTATTATTTTTATCTGCTTGGGGATATCTTACAAAACAGATCCTGCATTTCTGGTGGCCACTATGAAGGATATATTTATATTGAGACATTCCCCCCCACAACTATGTAAGACTCATAAGCTTTGTGCGCACACCTGAATAGTTTTGAAGTGTGTCTAACTAGCTGCACAGAGTGTCATGGTGTGCACTGATTGCCTTATCTTCTCATTTATCACAGATGAGTTGGAACCAACCTTGCTGAAATCTACTTACTGGCATTGTCCTGATAAAATTGCTAAATCTATGTTGTTTCGATGTACAGTTTTCTGTCAAGGAACGTATACATTTACAGCTTGAAAATGTTGCATAACTGATCGTTATTGAAATACAGTAAATGTAAGGATTGTCATTAAGGCCTATTTTTTAAAAAGAAAATACTGATTTTCTGACAAAAAAAGAATAAAATCTATTTAGTATCATTCTGGGATTAAGGGTTAAGTGAAGAAGAAAATGAGACCATGTAAATAATATTGACGCTGAGTAAGGTAACCTATTTTTCATTTTTTCTTTCCCACCCTAAGTCAAATACATATATGTTTTTTTTTCTAAATTATATGGAAAGATTTTTGTAAGCAGCTGCAATATTTATTTTATGAAGACTACATTATATAAAGTACAAAAAGTCACATGTTTGATGACAGAATTTGTTCGGTTTTTTTACTTTGTATTTTGAGAATAAATGCTAATGGGAAATACCTTATCAGTAAAAAAAAACTGGAACAAATCTTATTAATTTTAAAGATCTAGGCTCGTCTACCATTCTGATCATTTTCAGTATTCTGTTATATTACCAGTATGAGGAAGCACCAATGTTTTACAGTGCATTTCCTTTTCCTCCAGTTCCATTTACTTCAGAATCTTTGCACTAAATTCTGATAGGCTATGAACAAATTACGTTTAGGAAATAAAAAAGGACAGCTTACCTATCACTGGATGTGGACAAAGGAAGAGAATAGGAGAACAGTGCAAAGACTTGCTGAAGGGAAAACAAGTTGTGAATGCATGTGTGCAGGGGAAGAAGTTCTGTATTTAGTTAGCAATAGGAGGAGTATTTAAATTCTAAAGACAGAAGTGCAGAGTGGAAAGGAAAGGCAATTGTGATAAATGAACAAAGCTCTGCATGTGTTCAGATTTATATTTTTCACTGATTTTAATAAGTGGGAAAAATGAAAAGACAATATTGTTCAGTGATAGAGAGAACCACTCTGCGTATACTTATTTCACCCTACTTTTTTTTTTTTTTTTAAAAAAAAAAGAATTCTCAGCCTTGCATTGAGGAACTGATCTTGAGCTAACTACTTTTCATGGTAAATATCCTCTAAAAGACATATATAATTTTTTTTTCAAAATCTTTTTTCCTTTTACATCTCATTGTGAGAAGCAACCCATACCATTATTTTTCAGTCATGTTCCTTGAAGATGAGAAATACCTTACGCAGGTACGTAATAGTAGAGAACAGTGGTATGGAGACTCTGCAAGACCATTTCCTCAGTTACTACAGGCCCAAAATCATATCCTGGATCCCATTCACATTCTTTCTGTGCATCAAGCCACAATATTGTTGAGTGAGCAGGATTTACGTGCATTACAGCAGAATGTAAAGCTTCAAAATAATAGGTTTCCACAATGGAATGCAAACAAAAAGTGTGCAACAAGTAAAAACAAAACAAGAAGATTTAAAACAACTTTTAAAAATATACTGTGACTGTTTCCATCATACACCAGGTTTGCTATATGTATGATATTATGTTTCTCTGTTCTTTCTAATACCTGTCAGTTCAATTGCTGCTTCTTTTTTCATATATGGCTCTAATTTCTTTTGAAAGATCTTCAACATGTCTTGTAATTAGAATATTCTTTTAAATTTTCCTTTTAGAAGGGAATAGGTATCATTTTGGGGGGCTTTTCCATATTTGTTGGCAGAGGCCATCTCTGTAATCTCAGAATTATTGGGAATTAGGCATATAAATGTAATGTAATCAAATTATTAAAATTCATTTAAGATTAAAAATAAATAAATTATGAGTGTCAACCTCCAGCTTGAATATCCTAATAAAGTCCAGGAATACTTTCATTATAACATTATAACATAAAATATCAAAGATATAAAAAAATCCAAGAGGGTCATTTATATTGGTTAATAAAAGGCAGAAGGAGGGCTCTCATGGCACTATCTAGCCCAGCGGTTCTCAACCTATGGGTCGCGACCCCATTTGGGGTTGATCGACCATTTCACGGGGGTCGCCAAGCAAGGCTGTCCACCATTTTTTTCCCCTTTTCCGGCAGGTGCCTTACCTCCCTTGGGCTGGGCCAGCTGGTGGCCCAGCCAGTGGTCGGCCTGCTCTGTCTCTGCCGCTTGCCAGCTACACCTCGGCCGGCATGGGGTGGCACCACGCATGCGCAGCACTCCTGGGCAGGGAAAGTCCTTGACTTATGACCGGCTAGGAAGTCCTCAACTTACGACCGGTTTAGTCCTCAACTTGCGAACGGTTTAGTCCTTGATTTACGACCGGTTGGGGGTCACAGTATTAAAAAGGTTGAGAACCACTGATCTAGCCCCAAATTTTCATGATCCTTTGTGTTCCCCACACAAGGCTGCAGAGCCAAATTTTAACCCTTTTATGGAAAGCAACTAAAGTTCCAGAGTTTTATGTGAGGCCTGAATGTTCTTTAGGTTGCTGTTTTAAAACAACAACAACAACAACAACCATAATTGCCTTTCATAAATACAGTGATCAAGCATGAAAGCTTGAGTATTCCATGCCAAGTTCTGATCCAGGCTCTGCATATAGAGAATTAAGGTGGAGGGAAAGGGAAGAATGGCTTTGAGGAAGCTGAGAAAAGGAAATTAAGACTGAAGTAAGAACTTACAAGAACTAGGCTGGAAGGGAAAAAGCAAAGTGTAGCTGTGCTTGGAAAGAGAGCACCAAAAGCATGAATAGCCATAGCAAATGGGCAAATTGTGAGATGTGCATTGTGACACAAATGCTATTCCTTACTCACATTGTGACACAAGTTCTATTCCTTATGCACATTGTGATCAAGTTCTATTCCTTACAAGATGGAAACTTGGGGCTTGCAAATCACAGCACTTTTAAAAGCTTAGAAGAACTAAATTAAGGCAAGAAAATATTCTTTTTTCTCCTCTCTAACTGTGGTGAATGGGAGTCGTTATATTTAAAATATTTCAAAATTTAAGCAAAAGGATACATTTTCATCCTCCCATTAGAAAATCTGGAGGAAAGAATTCTTGTTTTCAATAAAATGAAGTGATAAATTTGTAAGTTCTGTCATTGTTCTATCTTCTTTATAGACTAGACGTAAAAAAATAAAAGTAGTGTTTATTTCTTGCCTAATCCTAACCCAATGTGTGTGTGTGCATGCTGTGTTTGTATCATATAAATACATTTTAACACTATAAAGTGTAAGAATCTTTGCCTATGGGCATACCTAAGATTTTTTTGCTTCATCCAATTACTTGCTCTTATCTAGTTATGATACATATTGTCATAATATTGTCTCTCTGACAGAGGGCATGATTCCTAGAATAGGCTCTGAGACTCCCTCAGATTTGTTTTTCCATCTGAACTTCTCAATCACTCTATCTCAGATCTTTCTTCTTGCTGGAGCATCATCTGGAGGGAGGTGCCTTACATTGCCTTTGCCACCCTCCAATCTTCACAGTATGTTGCAAAAGTGAAGACAGTTGTCACCAAATCCAATAAGCTCAGTAGGGATCACAGTTGGTGCACTATACTTAACTGCATGGCTTCCTGTCAAAGCCTTCACTTGAAAATTCATTGGCAGCTACAGATCAAGGAGAATTCTGATACTACAGATCTGCTTTCCAAAGAGTGCAATATGCAAAATGAGTTGATTATGAAATCCAATCTCTTAGTTACCAAACATTCACCTTATCTGGATTTAATTGCAGATTAACTTCCACCATCCAGCATGTTACTGAATGTATACAACATTCAAGAGTACCAGTTGAATGGTAAGAAATAGAACTGTATGTAATCTGCAGATTTAGTTCAGAAAATGTAGTTCAGGATGAGTGAAAGCATAAACATTTAACCTGTTTACAAATCATTAAAACTATCATTTTATAGATGACATGGCTTTTGCTAAGAGGCTTTTGCTGCAGCCATGCAATCCTGGAAATAGGCACAACTCCAGTAATGAATCACAGCAGGTGCTGTGTTCTAAGGTACCTTTTCCAAACCCAATCAAAACAGGCCATATTCCTACTGTGTACAGCTACAGCCCTACTCCAAATGAAGCTTCCTCGGCAGTTTCACATAGGTACAAATCAGCAGGTGAGATGAGGAAGAAGGAACCCTGTGGAGATATTACTACATCATCACTATGGATATCAAACAGTAATCTTCCAATATCATTTTATGGACTTAATAGTGTGTCTATAATCTAAATGTGCCAGAGAGTTCAGATGAATACTCTGATAACACTTCCTGGAATCAAATGTTTGAGGAAAAGCAGTAGGCCCAAATTCTTCCCATACAGTTTCTGTCATAGGCCATCCATTAAAGAAAACAAAGCAATTTCTCTACCATAACCCAGCTGAAAACCCAACTGAAATGGTCAGATAATTACTATCATCAAGTTTTGTGTAAAGCTTCTTTGGTCAGTTTTTGTTTTTGAAATGCTTTGAAATTGCAGTCTTCCAATATCTCAGGGGCTGCCACAAAGAAGAGGAGTCAAGCTATTTTCCAAAACACCTGAAGGCAGGACAAGAAGCAATGGATGGAAACTAACCAAAGAGAGAAGCAACCTAGAACTAAGGAAAAGCTTCCTGACAATTAGAACAATTAATCAGTGGAACAACTTGGCTCCAGAAG